GGAGGAGGAGGAGGAGGAGGAGAGCCTGCACAGTCGCTGCTCTCGGATCTTCTGAGAACCAATCCGGCTGCTCGGTAGCAGCCCTATTCAGGATCGACCCATGCTTGTTTATTTGAAAGAGACCCCGCTTTTTTAACTTCCCACCCTCTCCATTGTTCCACTTCTCATGGGGAGGACTTTGAAATTGTAATCTCAGGATATTCAAACACACACATTTGTTCTGACCTTTGGTGCCTGCAATAACATTATTACTCCGAGACAAGCGGTGCCAGCTCGGATCCGTGTGTATTCAGCAACATTTTTATTGACTCATAAAGATTTTTTTAAATATATAATCAGGGTTTGGGTAAAAGAGTGATAAACATAATTGTCTTTAAAATAATTAAAGGAGGAATCTTAACTCAAATACGGGGAAAGATTCGGTTGTTTGAATTGCAAAGAAAATGATCATTGACTGCCAGGAAGGAGTTCCTGCAAGAAATCGACTTTTTCACTGAAGTTATTATAGAACTGATAAATCATTGCAGCTGGAAAACAATTGTGAGATTTTTTTTTAAAGCACATTTTTATTCCTAAGCTTGTTATATATATATATATAAAATTTTCCTTTTTTTGGGGTCATTTTTATGATTCTTATTTTCTTAAGCGATAAAATATAATCTACAAATTTATCCATCTTTTAGTATAATTAGTATAACCTTTTAGTATCATCTGACTGTATGAGTTCTGGAAATTTAACTGCTTTCAGCCATAAATAGTGAATGATCATCTCAGTTAGAGTCATATCAAGTTCTATAATGACACGAAACAAACTAATTGTTTGGAGGAGTTATTCTCCTTCACCTCTTTAAATATCAGCTAATACTTTTTTTATTACGTAAAAGAGAAAAATATAATATATACCAAATTGCTGTAATTTATACAATAGTTACTGGTTTTGGCCTTGCTGTGGATTTGAAGCCAGCAGTAAAAGAGAAAATTGATGCTGCTGCCTTGGTTTCTTTCTTTCTTTCTTTCTTTTTTTTTCTTCTTCTTCCTCAGATATACTGCATCACAGCTTTGGCTGCTAAGAGCGTATGAGATTGTGGTGACATTCTTCGGTTTGTGAATGAGACCACAGAGTAGCCACACAAAGTTCCTCGTCCCCAGCGCTCAACCTAACTCGCCCACTCGCATTGTCTCGAGACTTTCCTCAAGAATGTGGATTTCTATGGCCGATGGCAAGCCAGATGAAATTGCCAATGCATTGTCACCTCTCGCGGTTTTTCTCCTTAACAATCTCTATTGGCGATAGAGTTCAAGAGGAACCCTCTCAATGAAAACATCTGTTTTTTGGAGATACTGGAGCGGTAGACGGTGTTAAACAAACAAACAAAAAAATCTATGCAGTATCAGCATACGAGGAGACATTATTTAAAATTAACTTCCCACCACTGCTGACGAATGAGAGCTGCCCTGTCGTGTTTGAGTCAAAAAAAAAAAAAAGAGCAGCCATAACACCGCAGGACACTCCATCACCCTGATTGCTTTTTTATGGCCCCAAAAAGAAGCCATGATGAACGCAATTTGCTTCCTTTACTTTAGCACGGCAAGAATATTTCCCTCATTACCCAACGTTCAAACGCGGGGCACTCCGATGCCACAAGAGGAAGTGGCTTTGGCAGAAAATGTCAAACCGACGTTTAAGTGCAGGATTGAAGCCAGTCTGATGTGGACTGGATCAACTTGTTAAGTCAAATGAAAGGTCAAAGATATTTTCCACTGCAGTGAGCAACACAAATAACTGCTACTTTAAACTGCCTGGTAAACACAGAGTGCCGTGCTGGTCACCTTATGTGAGGAACAAATTGAAATGTATACAGTTACCTCTTGCTTCATGCAGAAATGATGACTACATTTCCCGTTTGAATATTCCTTTCTTACACCTAACGTCCGCTTACTTCAGGTGAAGAACTGTGTGCGACTTCGGCACAATAATCCACTTTTCACCTGCCACTTTCAGACAAGGGAAGTGACAGTAAAGCGGGAGTGAAGTGCTGTGGTGTCGCTCAGAGTAGCTCTCACTTGTCCCCATCGACGCTCTGTCATGTCAGCAAAGTGTCCATCTCTTTGAGGCCTGTAGCTACAGGTCTTTGTGTCGCCTTTGACACATCTCACAGGGATTGGGTTCCACAGCCCACTCACTCCTCTAAATGATGTGTTTGTTTGTCAGAGGGCCTGTCTGCAGTGGGAGAATCCACATATTGTTGATGGAAGACCAACATCAGCTCACCTGGAATCATAAAAAGCTGAAGGAAAACGCATTCAGTTTTGGTTTCTGGGTGTCTTTGAGCAGAAATGACATGAGAATCTTTTCTCTAATAGCTTATCGTGCCACTACTTGGCCCCCTTTACACTTTCTAACCTGGATAAACGGTTTCATCGAAGCATGAGAGTATTGGAAATGGCCCTGCACATGCATGTGAGAAAAAAGAAAAAAGTTTTCATTTCTGGTGCCAGCTGAGGGGAAAGTGCTTCCCATCGTGCTCGCATCGACCTTGAAGAGCAGATCTGCTTTCAAACTCACTAACACCTTCTGACACAGTTCACTCGCCTGCATGCTGTTACAGAAATGTCTTTTGTGGCAGGGGAGAGGGAGGCCCAGAGCTAAATACACTGGACCGAAACACCAGGGGAGGAGAGGTAACTGCGCTCCTCGTGTAGATTTATCTCTGGGTGTACCTGTATCGGATGAATCTCAATATGAGTCCGTGCACTCTGCGGCCCCCGACTCTCATCCCCTTCTTGCACGACAGTATGGAGATGAGATAGAGCAAAGGGGTGCGCATTCATTGGGGTTTAAACACAAACCAGCTGGGTGACGAGAGGCGTGTGAGGAGACAGAGGGTCGGTTTTGTCAGATAGGAAATGAAGGAGCCGGACTCAACATCGGGATTCACTCAAGTCGAATCCTCAACCAACAAAAAAAAAAGTCGTGCCCCTCACCTGATGAGAGGTAAATTGCCCTTTGCACCTGAAGGCTTTCAAGAGGGCCAAACATCGGTGATCTCAATAAAGAATTTTGTCAATCACACAACTGTTTGTCCCCCAGTTGCATGAGAGTCATGCTCAGTCATATGAGATACAGCTGTAAAGCACAACCAATTACTTGTGGCTCCTGAACAAGGCGAGTCAAATAGGTGAATTATTCATTGTTTCACCCAGTTAGGCGATTAATCATGAAGGGGGCGAGTAAAGCAATTTGGCGAAGAAGTTCTCAGTCCATCCCCTCGCTAATCCGCCTCCTGTGTATCCGATAGCGTTGATGACTGTGGCGTTCTCAGTGGGGTCTTGTGTTGGGTTAGAGGCCACAGTGTGCTGCTGACACATTTAATGGGATCTCAGCTTGTCGAGAGAGAAGTATTTAGATGATAAACTTCGCTAAATTTGAGGAGGTTTGGATGTCTTGTTGCAAGGCTGTGTGTGTCGTGCAAAGAACATGGACGCAGATAAAAGCACATTTGCTCAAGTAGATGAACAATTTAGACGTTTCGTGCTTTTTTGGGTGCTTTGTTTGCAGAATGGGTCTCTAAAATTATGATTTATTATAGATCTAACTGTTTGATAATTAAAATTGTCTCCACCAACTACACTGGTGAAAGCTGCCTATTGGCTCATGCAGCTGGAATAATTGTATTAATGTATTAACTATGATAATGTAACGCTCAAAATGAGGTCTTTATGCAGCTATTTTTGACACTTTAACAGATAATATGGAGGACTCTTACTTGAAACTGATTTTAAACTGTGGTTTACACTTGAAGTCAAAGGATCTGCACACTGACTGACTTCATGAGCTTTCAGAAAGTCAAAAAATGTCAGAAAAATGACCTGCAGTCATTCCAGCAGCACATCATTTACAAATTCTGCACAGTAACGGAATATCTGGGGGAAAATCACATGATTTTTCACAATTAACATAATTACAACTGATTACTTTTTACCTTTATGCATTCTTTTCTGCTCTTGTTCTGAATCCATAACTTCTTTATGGGGTGTTATTGCTGCTGCAGATGTTATAATCACATAATAAAAATCCTTCCAAATGAATTAAAATAAATGTCATCAGCTTTAGCCATAGACGTGAAACAGTTAACTGTCAGCGCCTGCTTCCTCCTTCCAGCTCCACGCAGCGGACTATGAATTATTTGGAGGACAATTGGTTAAGTGGAGTTAACCGTTGCCTTTTCTCCCCGAGGTATCTTCCTTTTTGATCCTGCCGAGCCTGGCGCCTCGCAAAACACAACTTGTCTGGCTTATTAAATAGTATGACCTGGAGAAAAGAAAAACGCCTGTTGCTTCTCAACTGAGGCCATTGTGAAGGAGAAGAGCTCATGACAGGCCTTAAATTGCTGTAATGCTGTGTGACCAACAGTCATACCTAATCAATTTCTATCCTGGCTGCGCACGTTTTCCTATCTGATGTGGTTTTCTTTGTCGCTGATTTGCTCGTTTTAATCTTTAGTCATTTATTCCTAATTACTTGCACTGTTTATTTACTTACAAATAAAGTCCCTGAGTTGTATTTTATTATGTGAATTAACCACTTTTGTTGTTTTCTCTCCTCTTTTCTAGAAGTATATCTTTGATATTGGCATGTGACTCCTCAGTTCCTGCTCAGCTTTACAGTAGGACAGCAATTCAAGGGACGGAACCGATGGAAGTGCCCCGCTAATGGATGTAAATGGTCAAGAGAGTCCTCCCCACTGGTTAATTGCGCTAAAATTGGTCTAAGCTACTTTGTGAGAGCCATCAATGGCCCCGCACCGCATGGGGTCTGTATGATTAACGTCTCCTTCCTTTCAAAGGCCTCTTGATGTTCCCCTTGGAAGGCAACGGGCCAATCAAAACCACACTCAGAGACGTCACAGGGCCAACTCCAGGAGCTGATTGGTGGGAGCAGGTAGGGGGAACAGCCTCTGTCCTTTTATAGACGATCCCGTCCAGCGCGTAAAAGCTACTGGGCACCGCTGACAGCGCAAAGACGCACATTGGACACTGTACACTTCAGCCACACGATTCCTCTGAACCGGCCACACGGAGGTGCATGGCCCCATCCCCTTGTATCATGATGAATCCTGCGCAGGGGTCGCCGTCCCAAGACGCCAAACAGCTTCATCAAAAGGAGGAGACGGATACGGAGGGCGAGGAGCTTCAGCCCAAAGACATGACAACCGAGAAAGGATACAAACTCCAGCGGAGCAGCCTTCCGTTTAGCGTCGAGTCGCTGATTTCCAAGAAGACCACCTGTCGGACTTCTTACTCGCCCGCAGATTTAACTCTGGTGCTGCCGAAGCCCGTGGCCGGGCAGGGCGCGCAGTTCTCTCCAAGGACTTTTTACGCGGAGAGGAAGACTTCCGCGGAGAGCTCGCAGGGTGTTTCCAGTAGTTCCAGCGAGGACAGTCCGCAGTTTTGTGAGAAAGATCAGAGCACTTGGTTCCAGACGTCCTCCTTCTCTACACCTCCTCGTAAGTCCGTCTCTCCGCTGTTATCAGGCATACGAATACACTGCACTTATTCCTTTTTTCTTCTGTCTGTGATCAAGGCTGAAAGAACAAAAAGTTAAACGATAACTTGAGTTTACTGTAATATCAATATTATCTTACATCGCTATGGACTGTGCGTAAAATTGGCTTTTACGCACTTATGTTGTGCCTTTTCCTACAAACAGCCAATTAATTACGGTATTCTGTGCCACTTAGCTTGTGAGCCACTTATTTGGCTTTTGCACTGGTTCTTTGTCTTATTTGTTCTTACATTCTTGTGTACTTATTAATATAATTATACAGAAATAGCATATACGCGTTGAAATTAAAATATGGATGGGTAATACGCGACTACACCTTAAAATCCATATTTGTAGGACGCAACGTAATTATTTTGTAGAGACAGAAGGTTAATTTGTCACTATTAAATGTGTTAAAACCCGTTTACGAGTCTGTGTTTTTGGGTGTATTAAGTTTGTGTTTACACTAAAGTTCATGTGTTCACCTGCTCCAACAATCCAGCATCAATTAAAGCTTCAATTTAATGTAACATTTTGTTTTTCTCCTTTGCAATCTTTCTGTAACAGGGAGCTCAAGTCCAACTCAGTGTACTTTAAGGAAACACAAAAACAACAGGAAACCTCGCACGCCCTTCACTACCTCCCAGCTGCTGGCGCTGGAGCGCAAGTTTCGCCAGAAGCAGTACCTCTCCATCGCCGAGAGAGCCGAGTTCTCCAACTCGCTCAACCTGACGGAGACTCAGGTCAAAATTTGGTTTCAGAACAGGAGGGCCAAAGCCAAGAGACTGCAAGAGGCCGAGCTGGAAAAGTTTAAACTGGCCTCCAAGCCCGTCCTGCCCGCCTTCGCCCTGCCTTTCCCCCTCGGAGCGCACATGGGCTCTCCAACGTGGGGCCAGACGAACGCGTTCCCGAGGCCCAGTCTGCCGGTCCCAGGACTGTTCAGTGGACCCGTCACTTATGGGATGTACTATTTGTCTTAGTATTCCTGTGCGTGTGTGTGTGAGAGACTCTGATCATGGTTGCAATACACTTATAAATGAGGATGATGCCTCTTGTAGCCCACAACTCGGGAAAAAAAAGTCCTTTGTGTTTTCAATTTGGAGTTTAGATTTTCTATAAACTCTAATTTGGAGTTAAGATTTCCTCCAAAACTTCAATTAGGAGTTTCGAATTTCTCTATACTCCAAAAGTGAAGACATTTATAAACGTGGGTTGAGATTATGTTGTGTAAATGTGTGCGTAATTGAAGTGCGCTCACTTGCTCTCCTCATTTCTGTCCAGTTCTGTGGATTGTGGATTCACAGGGCGAAATTACTTCTCCAAAAGTAAATAGCAGGTTTCTAAATGACATGCCTTAAACACTCAATTTCCCTCCATCCATAGTGCTCCGCGGTGGTTTGCAAAATTGGACATTTAAAAGTGTCCGGACATGAAGGCAATAATCCACTGAAGCGGAGGAAGAATCCTTTAAAGCAACAGAAAAGTACTTAATCGGTGCCTTAAGACCAAGCAGTGTCTTTATTATCACTTGAAGTATTTCTCCTAATCCAGCATTGACTGTTTTCTGTAATTCTCGGGTAAAAAACAACAACACTGCAGTTTGAATGCGTTGCCGTATTCATGTTTCCTCACAGCAGTTCGATTTCTATATTTTGTAAAAATAAAAAAAAGGGGGACAAAATTATATTTTAGAAGAATACATGTATTAGTGTTTTTGTTGTTTTTTAACTCTCACAATGTGGCCTTTAAGGGAGTGTTATTAGATTTTCTCTGAGGATTTTTTTTTTTTTTTTTGCTGTAAATGTAAATAAAAAAAATTGTAGTGTTCACAAAAGCCTGCAGCCTCTGAAGAGCAGGAAAAGTGGTATTTATTGAATATCTTTGTATCTGTACTGTGTACATACATCAGTCTATCTAAATGCTCAGTTACTTGTAAAAACTGATTTTAGTAAATAAACATTATACAAGACCTGAACGTGGTTGACTCCTTGTATAAGTTTTTCTCACTGATTTTCATTTTGTTTATGAAAAATCTCTTTAAGTTTGAACTGATGAATCATCAGCAATGTCAAAGTTTGCTGTGGGTTTATGTAGAGTGAAAGAAATATAAATGTACTGAAGGTTACACACCCAGATTGTATTATATTATGTTATTGTTTTTTCTTTATTTGTGCCTTTTTTGTAATAAGCTATGTCTTATAAACACGAGAAGCATTCATCTTTTCTTTTTGTTGCTACATTTCCTACTTAACTGTGATTATCTAGTTTGAGAATTGTTAAATAATACTGTGATTTTTCCAATCTAGCGCCTTTTACTTTACTTCCCTCACATTAAAATATTTAATGTGTGGTATAAATTACTTTTTTGAACACGCTAAATGAAATTTTTAGGCACATTTTCGTTGAATCCGACTAAGATAATATTTAAACCACAATTTTGTACAGATCCTAACTTTGTCTGTATGTCTTCTCTGGGACAAGGCACATTTATTTATTTTTTTAAATGAAAAATTAAATGAAAAATACATTTTATAGAACTTATTATTTGAAAAAAAATCACAGACAAATGTGTTGTAGCTAAGATTGCAAAACGGGCACATCATCCCACACATGCCTGTGAAGTAAAAAATATCAAATAATTTCACAATTAATTAGTTATTTTATTTAAAATAAGATACATGTATTGCACTTCTAATGATATTTGTATCGTTGCATTTTATTCTATCAACACCTATGAAGTTGCAGAAATATTGTAAGGGAAGCACAAATTAACTGTTTCATTGGGCTGGAGAAAATTACCGTTTAGTGGCAACTCCGATTTGGAAAGTTGTGCATTTTATTTTGTAATTACTGCCTGGTGTTCCACACTTTAATCTGTATAGTAGACTATTTATATCAGGATAACCAAACATTTGATTCAAAAAAGGAAAAAAAAAATGTTTTCAGTTTTCTTTAAATTTTTTGACTTTTTTGCAAAAACTGCTTGATAATTGGTGTAAATTACTATAACCTATAGAATATTTGGTCTTTATTCATCATTAAAGCGCCTGGTTGTAGATATAAACCCTCATCGCGTAACTGCGGCGCTTTCGACGAACAAACGCCGGCAGTGTGGGTCAGTGTGAGTCCTCTGGTCGGCCGGCAGGGGGCGTTGGCGGTGGCGGCGCTCTGCTGCTGCTAAAGAAGGAGGAGAAGAAGAAGCACTTCCTCCGTCCTGTCACAGACGACTCTTGCAGCGAGGTGAGTACAACAGCATACCGGGTAATCGAATGAAAGAACCTCTATCTAAAAAAAAAACCCCAGTGTAAATACTAATTTGTTGAGCCTACACACGTATCGTTTTGCACAAAATACCAACGTGAATTTACTTGTTCACTCCGTGTTTAGTGGAAATAGCGGCGTCGCAGAGAGAATTCTCTGACCTTGGCTAGCAGGCTAACACAGCTAGCTACCGTTAGCTCGTCTCGCAGCGTCTTGATTGGAACAAAATGTCAAGGACGGTGTTATTGATTGCTTTAGGCCAATTGTTATAAACAGCCTTAAAAATGCCTTTTCATTTAGCACATGCAGTTAGACGCCCTTTGTGGGCACTCTGTATAAAGTGAATGCTCAGGGTTGATCTCTGCCTGCGTTATTTATCTCTGCGGTTTAACCTAAACGTGATATTTTCTCATCGTGACATAGATATCCGGCAATAGAGCATCAAAAATGAACTTGAATCGAATCAGCTGGTTATGATTTACATGTTAGTGCACAGAAACCTGGAGGTGACCGTGTTTTTGACTGTTTCTAAGCTAAAACGAGGTTGCTTTTATGAATCAAGAGCATGACAAGGTTTCAGCATCATGCAGATGTTATTGCATGCAGATCTGTCTGTTAAATGTAAATAACACAATATAAATCCAAAGGTCAACCACACTGGTTACACATACATGGGTGCAGAAACAATGGTTGCATATAGTAAGACTACATATGATCAGTTTCCAATTTAGTATGCAATGTAATTGCACTTCTGAAAACCAACTAGACAGTCTAAAATGACACACAGTTAAAGAAACAGCTCTCCAAAACAGTGAGTGCTAGTGGTGTGTTACCTTGGTAAAATTGGTTGATACAAACATCTTGTAAGTCAACTCTACAAGCAAGCAAGTGAAGTTTGGATAATTTTAGTTTTGTCATTAAGAAGCACCTTAAATATTACCAGAGTATTATAACCTTCTTTGAAGATCCTGTCCAGGTAAAGTAAGATATGTGTTTAAATCATCTGTGACTTGAATAATTTTTGTCTGTTGTGCTTTTTTATTTTAAAGACGTTCATAGAATTGTATAGATGCCTTGTGTGTCAGTGAATAAAATCCAAAATCAATGCCAAGAATTTTGCATTTCAGAAATTTTACTATTGCATAAAAAAACATCTCTTATGTCACACTAAGTCTCTTATGTTTTGCTCAATGGAGGCTTCAAGTCTTCATATCATACTGCTGTAAGATGCAACAAGATTGGTAAAGTAGGCAACTTAACTAAATAGCAGCTATACAAGGCTTGTAGTTGGTACACAGTATAAATATTGCATTTACAGAATTATAAAATGGTCGTTCAAGTGTTGAACTCTGAATATATATCATTCTGTGGAAGGAAGCTCAAAAATTCAAGTGAAGTAACATTGACCAAGACATATTTTTGATTTGAAGAGTGACTGTACAAAACATCTTCACCACTGTAGCTAATTTTGTAGCCTGGATGATTTCCACGAAGGTCTGTTTGGAATAAAGAAGATTTCCTTCTACTTTCAGACAGTCAAGATGGCAGGCCGTCGTGTAGCCCTGAAGGCCATTGACTGGGTGGCTTTTGCCGAGCGGGTTCCACCCAACCAGCGTGGCATGTTCAATGCACTGAAGACCCGCACTGACGGCATCGCTGCCAAGTAAGTTATACGTGACCTGTATGGTTTAGAAGTAAGTGGTTGGCATTGGTCATATTTAGTATTGCATTGCCAGAATTTATTTTCCTTTTTTCCCTTCATGAAAGTAGAAAACAAATAGTGCTTTTAAATGTCTAAAGTTTATGGAGATGGATGTCTTTTTTGCTGATTAACAAAACAACATCAATCTGAGGTAACTTACAGGAGTCTGATATACATTTCTGTTACATGCAGTTAAAGGATGGTACATATGTGGCCTACAGAGCTTAAGTGTCTTCCACTCTCCTAACTGAGAGGCTTTGCAAGATGCTGGAAAAACAGTAAAAATTAAATACATAAACAAGTGTTTGTACACAAAGATGTTTTTATTCAGACTGTGCAGTACTTCCTTGGGTTTGGATTTATTTATTTTTTGACATATCAGGGCTGTAGTCAACATTTAATTAACTCCTGGAGGAAGTATCATCATTTTACAGAATTTGTTTTTGCACACACTTGTATAACTACCCAGCAGATTTCCCCATTCTGTCTAATTTTTGTATTCACTTGATTGGTTGTTGTGCTTTTTTTGTTTGCACATTGTACCTCCGTGGTCATCTGGTAAACCTGATTTTCTATCTTTATACCAGACTGAACTCCCTGCCAGAGACTCCTGCAGTCATTGACTGGAGCTACTACAAGACCGCAGTGGCCAAAGCCGGGATGGTTGATGAGTTTGAGAAGAAGGTGAGCTTTATTTGACAGGTCATGAGCCATGAGCATTAAGCATGCATCTGATAAGGCATGTGTAAGAACCCCACTTTTGACACTACATAGTGTTTGACTTAAATACACTGTTGGTGGAATAAATTATTTAATTTTTAAAGTTGTGCCTAGTCGCTTTTCCAAAGTCATGATTAAAAAAAGCCCCTCGTTGAATCCAAATACGTGTATTCTAGAAAGAATGTCCTAGAATCATATGTAAATTTCACAGATATAACAGACAAATCGCAATTTGTTATGCTTAGAAATGATTTCTTTCCGTATGAAAAATTGACCGCACATAAAGATGGATGGAATTACAGTTCATCAAAAGCCGAACCTAAACTAGTGGCATATGGGCACTGATACTGTGCCCTGTTGACATTATTTATAAGCAGAGTCTGACCGTATGTATGACCGTGATTAGGAATAAATACATCTGTACCTCACTTTTATACAATGGGAGGAAGTGGTGATGCTTCGTCCATCTTTATATGCAGTCTGTGGTCCGAACAGCTCTGAGAATTACCGTGCTAGTGAATAGGAGTAGCAAGTAAACTGGATCTTCAATTGCCTTTTTGTGAGTCTGCAATATTATCCTGCCTCTCTGTAACAGGTGGACCTCCAGTTGAGTCATAATTGTATAATTTTGTATTAGTTTAAGTGCTTACTGATTTGCATTACAGCAGTAACTCCTGTTCCTCCTCCACACAGTTCAAAGCTCTGCAGATCCCTATGCCTGCTGACACGCAGACGAGCGCCATCAATACACAGGAGGCTGAGGCTGTAAGTGGTTACATCAAAAATAAATCATGTTCTGCATTCTTTTTCGCTTGAACTCGAGGAAGTGAACTTTGTTTTTTGTTTGCATCACACCTGACACAAGAACTGGCAGTCATGCTAAATGTATGTTTTTGTCATTATTGTGGGAATTGTAAATGTGCACAAATTGCGAGACAGAGCCGTCAACTGGAATTAAGCAGGATGCAGCTGTTGTCTTACTTTTTCAGATGTATGTTGTCATTTTTCTCCAACAGAACAAAAGTGCAACTGCCTACATGGAAGCATCAAAGGCCCGCATTGCTCAGTATGAAAAGGAGGTGAGATCGTCAGTTGTATTAGTTGCGAAAACACCTAATGAGCATCTCAAGGGAATGTGCAAAAACTCTGCTATTTTTCTAATGTTCCTGCTTCATGTGTTCACAGCTTGAGAAATTTAAGAACATGATCCCCTTCGACCAGATGACCATTGAGGACCTCAATGACACCTTTCCTGAGACCAAGCTGGACAAGGTCAAACATCCATACTGGCCCCACAAGCCCATTGCAGATCTGTAATCCTGCTTCTGGACCCTCACCTCACAATAAAGATTATGTATTTTAAAGTGAACTATTTGATGACTTCTTATTTCATGAATGTGTGAAATGAATGTGTGTGTCAATCATAGTTAATCATAGTTTGTGAAATTGTAGGTAGTGCCCACAAGGGGGCATTGCTGCTTCAGTTTTTTTTTTTATCGAAGTAAAAGATTAAAATAACAGTTTTCTTACATGCCCATGCACCTTATAACATTGTCATTAATCTGCATTCTGCTTTTGATTTATAACATTACCTAGAAGTGTTATCCGAAGCTAATGCTTCTGACGGTATTAAATAAAACCTTTAAAGCCTGAGATGTTTTTTTTTGTTGTAGGTACTGACAGATTAGACATACCATTGAGCACAAGTGTGATACCTGATAGAATTCTCGTAATCACATGATTAAAAATATTAATAAGGCTTCAATTGTGCATTTCCGTGTTATTCGGCACGTATTTACTCATCTCTAAGCTGCTGCAGTATCCTGTGCATACACTTTACGGTACTAAGTCCAATTACAGGTTAACTTAATGTCAATCATGCCTAATATTATCCAATCATAGATCGCCTGGTTGTTTCCCTTAATGCTGATTGGACCCCTAGTATTTATTTACATAGGAATGGGCGGGACATCAAGGCTTCACCCCTGCCTTAGATTTTAATTGGTCCAGCTTCACAGCATCTCTGCTGTTGATTGCTCAGAATCCTTGTGGAAGTAAAAGAGGAGGGGCTTCACGAAAGATGATTTCCGTTGTATTTTACATGACAGTCAACGGCGATTGACGGTAGTCCATCAGCTCAGGTAAATAGCCCCTTTTAATAACCCAATCTATAATTTAATGACATGTTTTTAGTGTATGTTTTAGTACACGGCGGTGTAATTTACCAAGAGTTTTCCTGCAGTGTTGTTGGCGAGCCGGAGGTGAAAGCTGGAGCTATCTGCTCAAGTGTGTCAAGAACTGTTGTCAGATTGCTCGTGTGGAGGTCAAAAAGGGAGAACAGAAAAATAATCTGAAGCCATTTTCGCTGTAACATTTCCCGATAATTAGAAGTTGTTTTACTTGCATGTCCGTGACACTGACCACAGTAAACCGCCGTCAGTAGCATCGACAGCTAGCTAGCCAGTGGCACCGTTAGCCGTCAGATTACGGTATAGATGGGAGAGTCAGTCAGGTGCCCTCTGCTCCGAAGGATGGAAACATGTTTATTTTTGCTCTTTTTACTTCATTAAACTTTGAGAAACAGTCAGCATTTAGAGTGATATCCCTGTTAGTTTTTTTTTCAGTTAAATTCGACAAGCTCATTCTTTGTATATAAACAACGAGGCCTAACTATTATGTTATCTATTCAGCCACTACTGTATAGGTTTCATATGACGGTACACTACTGCGACAAAAAAACACCCTCTACTGGCGTGAACTAGCTAGCTTCATGTCGTACGAGCTTACTGAAAGACAACATCGGGTTTTTGTTTTTTTTTGGTTTTCTGCTAAAAGGTTTCACGCCAGCCCGGTGTGTTTACAACACAAGCAAACAATCATGCCAAAGGATTCACCAGAGGTCAGTAAGCCAACGCCTCTGTGGGTGCAAATTATGCAAAACTATTTTGGCTGGAGGGAAATATGAGCTGATGTCGTCCTCTGAGTTCACCTTGGTTACTACTTTGCTGCTGTTTGTGTCACGGCAAATGCAATGTTTATTATATTTCAGGTTCCCATTTGTGCAGACTTTAAACCACCTAATTTTTTTATATAAATGTATAAAGATGTAGGGTGAAGTGATAGTTACAAGGTTGATTTAACTACCTGGGTCAAAGGTGACAGACCGGCTTGTGAGTGTAAATGTGTATATATGCATGGATATATGTGTGTACATTTTACACATTTAAGAGTATGAGAGATCAACTGAAGCAGAAAGAAATAGCATGCTCTATTCAATATTCTATTCTGATTAGCTTAATGAAAATGAATTCTATATATTTAGGTATATAGGCAACAATGTCTTCTCTACATAGTTTCTACTCCATCAAACTTGCTAGGATATTCATGCCACAGATTTGTTCCTACCTATTACTTCATTTTCATGTGCAATATTTCAGTATTATTCATTTTACTACTTCAGTGTCATTGTCAGTATTACCAGCTACTTTTAATTTTTACGAATGTGTCATACTTGCACCTTATTGCGTTTCTACTCTCACTTATTCTCATGTTATTGTAATTTTCTCTGAGCAATACCCAGCACAAGAATCATCTTATCTCGTCTAATCCTATCTTATTTAAGGAGCTTTATCTCCATTGTTGACCATGTTTGTTTTTCATCTTAAGCAAAAATGTTCCTGTATAATGGTCCCGAACAGTAACTCCTGGTTCGCTGCTGCCAAGTTAAGACATGAATGGCTCCCCGCTCAAAACATTCACAAGAATTTTTCTAAATATCCAGTGGAAAAACATGCTTAAATTTTACTTTTTGTAAATGCAGTGACTGGAATTGTTTAGTTTGCAGGTTTGCTTGTCACAGGAGAATGAAAGCTAGAGCAGCAGAGTGACAGTGTTTTGGGTTTTTTTTTAAAACCTTGTTTCAGATGTTTCCTGTCCATACATCCTTTAAATGTGCCTTATGACGTATAAGACCTCGTAGACCTACATCACTGTTGTTGTTATTGTGAATCTCATGGCCAAGAGTGCGTATTGTGTTAGGTGAAAACAGACGGGGTTGTGTTAGTAGTCGGCCCAGGTCTGACCCTGGACAGTGGAGTCAACACTAGCTCCATTGTTCATACAGGACAATGGGAGTAGGTCTGCATGGAGGGAGGCACTGCTAGGAGGCTAGAGGTTGGTTACTGTCTCATCCCTTGCTGAACTGCCGGCCTGTGCTTTTCTTACAGTGTTGTTTCCAAACACAAAGCGATGTTGAAACGCAGAGACACAATCTGAAGTCATGTGTAGCAACATGTTTCTTGTCTGGACTGATGAAAGCTTTGTTACAGAGGCTGCTGCACCAGAGAAAGAGTTTAAAACCTTGCATTGCATTGGGAGTTAATTTATAGGCACATCATTTAATGTTAAAATAAGTGTTGAATAGTCAACGTGTATGCTAGAGATTTTGTTTTGTAATGGTATAGCCTTGAAGCTGTGCGTCCTTAACAGCAGCATCCTATTCTGTTTCTTTGAGTCCCAGGGTTACTTCATGTAACACGACACTCCACCCTCAGATTTTCACTGATTGAATTTCATCCATACAGCAGTTCAGCCACCGTCCCCCAGTCACTGATGGCATAGATTAAGCAGGAAATGCACCAGACCAAAGCTGCAGCTGATGCCAATCTGTGCTGTCACTTCATATGTCGCCAAGAAAACATTGCAGCATTGCTGGTGTCATTGACACATATGTTGTGCAAATTTTAACGCTCCGTATTAGCACAGAACATAGTCGTCGTTATTTGTAACCAAACTTCATGAGTAAATTGATGAAATTATGTGCTGAGCAACAGAAAAGTAACTGACTTTACGAATTGATTTATAATTTCAGCCCTTTTTCAAGCAGAAGTATTGGGCGAAAGGCCCCAGAAGATTCTTAGGTTTTTGGACTTTTGGTCAGACAAAACAAGACATTTGAAGATGTCCACCGTGGCCACCCTAAGAAGGTGTGGTGGGAAAATAATTATCACATTAATAATTAAGATAATGTTTAGTTACTGCTGTTAGACTGTGAAAAGAGTAAACAGAAGGTTTTGGTGCTATCATCAGTTTATAGTTAGTTTTACAGGAGTGCAATATTCAGTATAATGATTTATATTAAGTAAGTAATTTTTTTTTTTTTTCATTGGCTGCACATTTGATCTTTATTTAGAACAGTAGAGAGAGACAGGGAAGCGGGGGAGAGACCTGCAGCAAGGGGTCGTGAGCGGGAGTCGAACCCACGGCCGCTGCATCGGGGACCTACAGCCCCTGTTCATGGGTCGCCCGCTCAACTAGGTGAGCTATGGGGCACCCAAGTAATTCAAATTTACTTTCTTCAGTTTTTTTATCAGATTAAATGGACATTTTCCCACTGTTTTTCACTCAACATTGACATATATTCAGGCATCCTTTAGATGAAAAACGAGAACACAGAAAAAGTGGCTCATTTGTATCCTTTGGCTATTGTCCTGTCTTTTCTTCGCCGTGAGATGCTTGCTTGTTTATAGGCTCCTTCATGCTAGTGCAGTAGCCTACTTTGTATGCCCTCAGCAAACATAGAGTCTGTGTTGTTTGCCAGCTTGTTTTCCCTTCAGCCTCACTTTCTGCTGGAGTTGCCAGAGTAGGAGTGGGAAATCGGTTGACCTCAGTGAGCCAAGCTAGTATAGCTGTTTATTTGTCTGTGGACGGTGAATGAAGCTTGTTGTCCCTGCTTTAGCATGTATGCCTGTGTCAGCTGAATCAGTCTGTACTGGCAGACGTGGGCAGCGATGGTGGTATGCAGCCAGTCTGGATGAACTTTAGGAATTATTGCTTCTGTGCATTAGCTCAGTGTGTATCTCACAGGGTAGGTATATGAATATGGATCTTCTACCGCGTTCCTTGCAGAGATCAATTACACTAACTCATAATGACATAAACTCACACAAACTGACTGACCCTCCCAAAAAAGGAAACTGTTTTAAGATACTATGCCAACAAACTTTTTTTTTCCCCCCAATCTGATTTTTCTTTAATCATATTGCGATGCCTTAAATGTCCTGTCTAAATCCCTAATAGAAATGGCATCAGTTTACTGGGACAACGAGGAGATCATCCCTTTTTGGGGTGAATGGGGAGGGATGGATAAAAAGAGGGGAAGGGGTTACCATCTGGATAGGATTTTTATCCGTTATCTTGAGAGCCTGCTGTGTTTGTGTGCGACAGAGACAAAAGCCTGGCTCAGTGTCCTCGGCAGTATGCTGTTGTAGGATGCAATAATTTGATCCCTTTCTGTCTGCAGTGCACAGTTAAAGCGATTTTGAAGGAGAGATTAAGTATGGTTGTTACAACCAGACAGTTCGGAATTTAAACAGTTTAGTCAGGGACTTCCAAACTGTCTGCCTGAAGGCAAGGCTGTGTGCTAACAACATCGCTCCCTCTTTGAACCACATCATCTGGTTGCTCATCACTGGTTGTGCTGTATCTTGGAACAATTTGTTCATGTGCATGTGTGTCCACAGTAACAATAGGAACCGTTTGCTTGATAGTATAAACTGTGGTGGAGTCACTTTGTAGGAGACGGCCCTCAAATAGCTATCATAGCCAGGTGTTTTTTCACATTTCTGAGCTGCAGCCACACACAAACTCTGCTGACATTTCAGTGGGTGATGATGTTGAGCCCCTCCAAGTAAGGTGACATCCTTCTGTGTATGTGGCTGTAAAGTCAGGACCTGGATATTTTTCTTCACACTGATTTTCTCTGACGTTTTCCACGGCAGACGTTCTGACTTGTGTTAGCAAACAGCATGCAGGCGTTAATTTAAGTATTAAGTGTCTCTGTAAGCCATGATATTATGACACTGAGCCAACATGAACACTAGTATAAGAATTCAGCCACCATTCATTTCATTATTTACACTTGTGCCTTTCATACTGTAACATGACAAAAAAAACAAAAGCTTTCTGTTGAGCGTACATATCTGTCTTTGTTTCCAGTGGCCGTTGATGGACCATCCCTATGAAGAAACAGGGTTACAATGGGACAGAGTACCTCGGAACAAGAGGTCCAAGGAGACATTCCAGAGGTAAAAGCATCCCTGAGATATCAGTTTTGTATGTGGGCTGACAAAAATGCGTGTTAGGAAAATGGAGATGCCTTGTCTATTGTGTCAGTTTTGCAAGTGCTACCCCAGAGTGTGCTTTTGCTAAGAAATGCTTACTTTAGCGTACAAAAAGTCTCTCACAAACAAAAACATAATGTGGGAGCAGCCATCGTGCCTGCACAAAACACTGTGCTGGAAGCTTGTAACAGCCAGTTCCTCCAAGGATGCATGTTTAGGGACATAACCAGAACTGAAATGACAACCAACCAGCAGCACAGGACACAACAGCACTTTATAACAACAATGCATCGTTTTAAGTCAGTATTAAGCTCAACCTTTCCCAAAATTGGTTCAGATTAATGTGGGTGGTAAACTCAGACCTTTTTTCTCCATTGAACTTGTCAGTTCAAACAGCCACACTCACAGGCCATAATAGACCCACAAAGAAGCAGGATTCCCACAGTCACTGGGGATTTGGGCTGAGGCTGTGCCCTCTTTGTTTCTCTTCTTTTCAGACGAGGATAGTTTCTTACCCATGCACTGTAGGATATTTTTTCTTTCCAATTTGTTGTAGACACCATCTTTAGACAATTGCACATGCGTATACACTTACCACACTTACACTTTGATTTCCAGACTCCATTGTTTCCACTTGAAGCCTCCAGCTGAAATGCATTTCCGTGTGCACATGTTCCCTATACTCTCACCATTTGTCAGCCCTGCTGTCAATGTCCCCTGTGTCCAGCTTAGGCTTTTTACTGCCAAGCAGCCCTTAGCTCATCACACTAATCAATAACCCCGGATAACAGATATGTAGTCTCATTGGCTGTCAGCCAGAGCACTAAAAACCTATTACTCTTACAACAGTGTATCTGATGGTTTGTTAGTCACGCTCTCACACACACACACACACACACATACAAACACACACACTAATAAAAACAAGTTGTTTTTTTTTTGGCCACAAGATGTTTGCACTCCCTGCGCTGACAGTGTTGGTTTGAATAGTAAAAAAAGTGTTTAGTTTTATGTTACCAAACATTGGTGATAAATGCCTGCTGGGCCTTTTGTTGCTTGTGAGCTCAGCAGCTTTACATCTGGAGCCCTGAGTCTATAAATAGGGGCCAGAGCTGGGAAGCTCTGTGTGGTGATCTGTTTTTAATAATGTGAAACATGGAAGTAAAGGCACAAGTGTGGAGAAGATCAGATGAGATGCTACACCCTTATCCCCCTCTACAAGTCAGACATTCATACCTCCAGGACAAATTCCCACATTCCATTTCACTTCAGTGAAACTGAAGCCTTTAGGCTCCAGCTTCATATAGCTACGTTTTAGCCTGAAGCAGTTAGCCAGCCAACTGTAGAAGTTTTTACATTTTGTTCTTACAGATGAGTAATGTCTCTGCAATTTTCTTGTTACATTAGGACGGGTTTAATAACATCAAGACATTTGTGGAGGAAGAGCTACAGACGAGCATGGTGAGTGTGCATTAAGGTTTCACTGGGACTGTTTCTCTTTTCTCATTGCCCTCATTTAACTGCTGTTTGGACACCCCAACAGGGAATTGTTTCACCAACACACGTTTTACTTTGGCTTAAGTCAGAAAACAAGAAAAGATGTTTTTTCTCCGTATTATTGACGTAACATGAATAGATTAAATAGCACGGCAATATTAAGTATCATAGTTAATAATAAATGTGTCTTAAAACAGTAGACATAAATTCAGTGCCTTGCTTTTCTTTAATCACATCTTCAACTCTCTTCTTCCTTTGTTCCTCTCCAGATGGTGGGGATGGTAATTGGTGCAGGTATCGCCATAGTCCTCATTGCCATCCTCATCTTCTTCATCTTACGGAGGATCCAGCTTCGAAGTAAGTAATTGCTAAGAAGCATGCACTGAGAAGATAGCAAATAGTTGTATGTATGTCTGTCCTAATTGTTCTTATTTCACAGACCTTGAAGCTCAGGAGGCACCCAAATACCGCTTTCGCAAGAGGGACAAAGTCATGTTCTACGGACGGAAGATCATGCGTAAAGTGAGTGTGTGGCAGAAAATGATAATCATTTTAAAATCCAGTTTGCATTTGTGTCACATGCTGTTTTTCTACCATTCCAGGATCGTACATAATGCAAAACTAATAGTATACGAATAACGTTTAAACCACAACTGTTTCCCAACAGGTCTCCCAGTCTACCTCTTCCCTGGTGGGTACGTCCTCCTCCTCTCGGCCACGCCTAAAGAAGAAGCAGAAGATGCTCAACATTGCCAAAAAGTACATCAGATAGCTCCCCCTATCCAACAAGCATAAGATGTTTTAACTTCACTGACATTCAGATAGCTAACGTATCACGCTCTTTTTCATCTTTTCATCTCTCTCTATCCCACTGTTTCCCTGTCACTTATTTAGGATCCTGCGCTTTAAGAAGGAGGTGCCCACCCTTCAGGCCAAGGAACCTCCACCCTCAGTGCTGGAGGCCGACCTTACCGAATTTGATGTGGCCAACTCCCACCTCCCCTCTGAGGTGCTCTACATGCTCAAAAATGTCCGGTAGGTTTGTCATCTGTATGTATCAAAATGGCCAAATATGTCTTTACATTACTGAGCTGATTTGCATGATTATTTAGTATTAAACATGAACATTGCTCCTGCTGGAATGCCTCCGAGATGTGTGGTTCTGTTATGAAGCAGCGGTTGAGCTGTGCTCATAAAGTTCAGTTACAGTGCCTATAAAAAGTGTTGACCCCCCTTGGAATTTTTCTTCTTTTATCGCTTTTTAGCTTTGAATCATGGTCAATTTAATTGTCTTTTTCGACAAGAATTTCCAAAAGCAAACCCTTTCATGTCAAAGGGAAAACTGATTTGTACAAAGCAATGTCAATTAATGACAAATACAAAATGTAAAATAAGTGACTGCATAAGTATCCATCTCCTTTAGAGTGACTCACCTAATTCAACACAGGTGCAACAAACTGGTGCTGGAAGTGAAACAATTATTGAAATGGAGACCATCTGAATGCAGTGAATGTGTGTCAGTGGAATGTTGTATAAAGACACCTGCATCTGGAAGGTCTAGTCCCTGGTGAATCAGTACTCTTGGCTTTAACTACACAACAAAGACAAAAGAACGCTTCAAGCAACTCCGTTAAAAAGGTTATTGAAAAGTCTAACTCAGAATATGGATACAATAAAAAGTCCCTAAATACAGTGACATTTATCATTAAGAAATGGAGGGAGTATGACGCATGTGTAAATCTTCAAACAGTAGATTGTCCTTAAAACATGAGTGACTGTGAGGGAGGCCACCCAGACATCTATGATTCCTCTAATTGAGTTACAAGCTTCAGCAGCTAAGATGGGAGAGACTGTGCAAACACCAACTACTGATGGGTTCTTCACCAGTCGAAGCTTTATGGGAGAGTGGTAAAGAAAAGGCCCCTATTGAAAAGAATTTAGATTAAATCTTGACTGGAGTTCGCCTAGGCATGTGGGAAAACTCTGAAGTCAGCTAGAAGAAGGTGTTTGGATCTGATGAGACCAAAAAGTCATTTTTTGGCTATCAGTCTAGACGCTGTGTTTGGCAGACACCAAATACTGCACATCATCACAAACACACCGTCCCCACTGTGAAGCACAGGGGTGGCAGCATCATGATGTGGGCATGCTTCTCGAAAGCTCTCTATCGCCATGATTCAATGTTGAAAGGCAACAACAGTGAAAAACTTCCAACGGGGGTGAAAACTTTCAACAGGCACTGCTGGTATACAACTAAACTGAGACAGACCAGATTAGCTGTCCAGTGCTTATTTGTACAGACAAAGCAGTTACACACTTGTTTGCAGGTATGTGTGAACCTTCTAACCTCTCTTTTGTCTTGCACTGCAGTGTGCTGGGCCACTTTGAGAAGCCCCTCTTCCTGGAGCTGTGCAAACACATGGTGTTTGTGCAATTCCAACAAGGAGAGTATGTCTTCAGGCCAGGCCAGCCCGACAGCAGCATCTACGTGGTTCAGGATGGAAAACTAGAATTGTGCCTTACTGGAACGGTACGCATGTGCATCCCTTTTATTCTCTTTACATCCATTTCATCTGTGTTGTGATAAAACCTAATACGAACTCACTCACACACACAGGGGAGTAAATCTACTTAGGTGCTTAACAACCGGGAGTTTTGACTTTAGCAACTCACTAATGCTTACATTTGACTTAGATAATCTCTTGCGCTTTAAGTATCCTAAAGCCAGTATTTAATTTCAAGGCTATTTGACAAGTCTTACCTGGGATTTCTGTCCTGATTGAGACACTACTGCTGGCTTTATCTATAGCTATGACACTATAAGGGTATAGCTTCTCAAGTGCATCGGGAAAAAAAAAACAAACTAAAAACACCAGTTGATGTATACATCAATATAAATGTCTTATTACTTTACTTCCAGGATGGCAAAGAAAGCGTGGTGAAGGAGGTTTACCCAGGAGACAGTGTCCATAGCCTCCTCAGCATTCTGGATGTCATCACAGTAGGTCACACCCACTTGTTGCCACATTGACAAAGCTGACATAAAGGTGATACGCCACACCTATTAGCTTCCACAATTCACATATTGTCATATGAGACACATGCTTTTACGTCACTGTGTTGGACCCTACCCACTTCCTGCTGGATTCTTTACTCCTCACATCATTCCCATTCACCAGATGTCTCAACAAATGGATATGACTCACAAGTTGATTTTTTGTTTTACTTTAGTTGTGATCCAGTTTCTAACCATTGCAATGGTCACATAGTCTGTCTGAAATGTAAAGCCTTGAAATGATATTACCAATGAAGACAAAAACCAAATTACTGTAGGAGCAAAATCCCACTTTAGAGTTTCCGTAAATACGGGTAGATTCAGAAATTGAGCTGTTTTCTGGGATCTTTGTGTGCAGGGCCACCAGAAGCCTTACAGAACAGTGTCAGCACGGGCTGCAGAGGTTTCCACTGTTCTCCGTTTACCTGTAGAGGCCTTCCTGTCAATATTTGAGAAGTATCCAGAGAGTCTAGTGCGAGTTGTACAGGTGAGCTGTGTTTGCTTTGTATTCATTTCTCAATATTTGCTCTCTTTTTCACTGGATAGATGAACTAGATTCCTAATTATAAATTCAGTTCAGGTTTAACATAATGTACTGTAGAGTAGAAATCTATGCACTCAAAGACATGATGTGGGTTTGATTAAAGCATCTGTCTGTTTCCTTGTGTTATACCAAATTACTCATTTCCTGTTGTATCGGCACAGATTATCATGGTTCGTCTCCAAAGAGTAACAGTCCTGGCCCTGCACAACTATCTGGGTCTGACCAATGAGCTCTTCAGTCATGTAAGTTTTCTCACACACACAGACGTATTTATACACAGTACTCTCGTGACTCCAATGCAAACATCTGTGTACAGTGTGGTTAGACATTTGTCAGGAATTTACCATAATTAGCTTTATTTATATTGCACATTTTAAACACAGAGGCAATTCAGACAAAGAAAAGCATCAAAATATACAAAACCAGATTGTTATGTTCCCTTCAGAGTGGCAACTTTTCCCTTGTAGCATTTGCATATAGCTTTCTTCTGTTCTCTATCGTGTTTACTGAAGCCAGCGTGTGCCCACAGGACCGACGTGTCTGCTTTTTTTGGTGCCAGTTCTTCTTCGTCTGCACCTGGGACTGCTACTGTTTTTCGCTAGGCTGATTTTCACTGGACTTGCTGTGTCTCATACTTAACTTAAATTGCTCAAGACTCGTAGCTGCGAGCTAGAAGGGAACATGCCAAAACGCATCTGTGTGTGGGTGTGTTTGAGCATAAAGATCACAAGGACACGCTAACTGACAGCTCCGGGATGGGCTGACTGCCTGTGTAAAAACTATTTCTCAAATGTATCGACATGAGCAAAGTGGGGTTTGTTACAAAGTTGTAATATTGATTAACCCCTAATTTGATGAATGGCCCCGTGTTGCTACTGGGTTTAAGGAGATCAGAAATGTATTTTGGCCTGAAGTTATTGAGTGATTCATAAAGCAGCATAAAGAACTGGAAGTCAGTGGAAAGATTTAAGAAGAGGAGTTATATGATCAGTTGTCTTGTTTCTTGTTAGAACTCTGGCAGCAGTGGTCTGAATGAGCTCAAGCTGTCTCACAGAGAGAACACTCCATCCTGCTGGAGATGAAGGCAATGAATAAAGCTTCTTTAAATCTTCTTTGCTCCAGTTTTTGCTGTTTGTTTTAGGTGCTGATTTATTTACTGCCCTTGTGTCGCTGCTGATGCTCACAGAGGTTTCTGACTTGAGTTTTCATCTTTACAACTCGGGAATCAAGCAATAACTTTGCTTCCTTACATCGATGTGCTCTAAATATTGACAAATCTATTGGACCAAAGCTGTTTGGTAAAAGTGCAAAATGAATCGAAGCATCTTCCACATAGCTGCAATATGGAATTTTATACTTATGTGTTATTTGATCAGGAGAGAGTGTGTAGAGGTTGAATATCACTGACCCAAAAATTGAGTTCACCTGTTACAGTGATGCCCCAGATACCAGTTTAACAGTACAGCACTCGCCAAGGTATGATCTAAACTAACTGAAGACTGTAGAAGACAATCCCACCTGCTTTTTCAGTCTCATGGTTCACAGGTAATTGGCTTGAATCAGTATTTGGACAATCGTCATTTAACACCTCTGTCAGTGCAGTCTTGTGATATTTTTGTAAATTCTACATTTGCATGTGCAATGAATTTTAAAGTAAACTTTAAAAGAGTTGAACTGTTGAAACACTGAAGCATGTCTTTGAATATGTGAGCTCGGAGCAGAATGAACATTGCATGAAATTGACAACAAATTAGCCAGATTTGATGCAACAGAGAAGCTTCTGGTACACTGGGTCCCAGCTTGTCCCAGGAACACTTCTGCGTTTCATTGCTCTTGTGCCCTGGAACCTAACATGCTCAGGAGTACACTTACAATTTTTATGGTAATTCGAGTCATCAAATGCTATTTTTGTGTCTTTCTTTCCACTTTCCCAACACACTGAACACATTGAATGGTGTGCCTCATATACATCATTCATATACTACTCACGTTTGTCTTATAGGAAATGCAGCCCTCGCGTCTGCCACCTCAGTCACCCCACGCTACTCGCACCAGTCCTGTCCGCCATGGCAAGCGCTTTGGCAGCCTGACAGTGTCTGAGGAGCATCGGGAAGCTGCCATTAAGGGTGAAGTTGCAGGTAGGGTGTAGGTATACAGCTAAAGTCACTTACGAGAGATGAGAAACTGGACCCATATACAGGTTTAGATGTATGTTTTTCTGCTAGCTTTGCTTTTTGTTTACTGATTAATGCTGCACATTTTATTTATCCACAGGAGGAGAACAAGGGAAAGATGGAACAGTGCCAACTCTTAGTAGGACAATCTCCATGCCTGTGGATATTGCTGGTGAGAGACTTCTCTTCTGTTCAGAAAGATTATATTGTCTTGCTGTTCTTTAGTTTTGCCAATAACAGAATAGTTTGTTCCTGGGCAATGTGCTACTTTGACAAATTACACAAAAAACATTGTAGAGATGCCTGAAGAAAATGATGAAATATGGGACACTGACACCACAAAAAGTTTGACTCTTCTGAGCTCTCCTGGTTTTATACTCATCTACACTACATCATATGTACCTCATCATTATGGCATGTTCACCTCGGTCACTTTAGAAATATTCTATTTAGGACTTCTTTAGGCTGCTTCTTTTAGTCAGATATAAACAACAGACAGACAGAGAAGAACTCCACTTACTAGTGCAGTTATTTTGGCAAACAAAACGAGCTCAACCTTTTGCAGGTAATTACATGTCAAGACAGATTCTTTTATGGCTATACCAAGATAAATGTTGAAATGTGATAGCTGCCAAGTTGTCGAGCATGCAGAGTCTAGCACGACAGAATGAACTCAGGGTTGTAATTGAGTAATGTTCTTGTGACAGTAAAGACAGGAGAACCCACCTTACACTTAAAACTACAGTCATCAGGATTTGGTTTGTTTGAGCATGTTGGACCGACTCCTTTCTGTGTCTGCATTTAGCTTTCTATAATCAGAGTAAACGTTTTTCTTTTTTTTTTTTGCCCCCACTTGGTTTCTGTTTTTAAACTTTAAATGCCTGATGATTTTTGGGTTGGACAGATCAAGATGCAAGAAAGTGAAATCTGATCATTGCTAATGTTGCTCACAAAAAAGCTCATAGGATGATTGGATGTGATGGTGTAACGATAGATGTGTTGTGATTTTTAGGAAATGTGTGTACCAATAGCTTCATTTGGGTGATTAAAACAGCTGGAGATGGATGACATAGTTTTCACGTATGCAATGGCTTTGACCTTTAGGCCTGTTAAGCTGTTCATTTGTTCTTCTCAAACATCAATGTATGTTAAGATGGATTATTTTTGCCTAATCACACCTAGATGATTGAAGACTAAAGAGTGCTGTCTAAATATTGTTTATCAGGGATGCAGAAAAGTCTGAGATCAGACTTTGACATGGCATATGAAAGAGGAAGGATTTCCGTCTCTGCAGAAGATGGCAACACTCCTCCTACCTTTACTCGGGTCAGTATACTGCAGAGTCTCGGCACACGTGAGATAAGGCTTTATTGGTTCCCAGACATAAAACCAGGTAACTGCATGAGCAACTACAATGTCATTAGTGAACAAAGAATAAAGGTTACTCCACATGGTGTGAATAACCGTGAAGTAATATAAATAACTTAACAATATTTGAAGTTAAGTTTGACTCCGTGTATGATATTATCTGACACTTTCCAAAGAATAATCCATTTTCTGTGATGATTTCTAGTTTTTAGTCGGTGCAGATTTCTTGTTTAAACAGGATGTTTTACTATTTCAGAATGAATGATTATGTGTGTAATTACAGTCCGTATCCCAGGACCAGCGTGAGAGGAGAGTGACAGTAGATGAAGTTCCATCAGGGATCTATCTTTATCCAGAGGAAGAGCCAGCCGTGGATAATATTTTTACACCTGTAACCAGTCGATCCAGCGCTGCTCTGTTCGAAGAAGCTCAGAAAGAGGTTCTCAAACTCATGAGGATTGAGGTTTGTTTGTTGTGCATTTGCTATTTAGTTACTTAGACGGTCTCTACACATGACATCACCACCATTACTAGCTGCAGCGATTTTACCGGATGCATTTTGTTGTGATAAAATGGTGTTACCAAATGAGTTTGCATGTGGTTGCATTAGAAAATCCAGAGTTGACATTGAGGCTGTGTAGCAAGAAGTAAATTCTCAAGACTTCTGTCCTACATCTGTGGTGGGAAGTTGTATCCATTTATTTGATGCAACATGCTGTAAACCCTCTCTCTGTGCTTCTGGGTTGGTATTGCTCCACTTAATCTTTCAAAATATGACTTTACTATAACTACATCATAGTGTGATAGATGAAGTAAATGTTACAGAATTGTTTGCAGCAACGGACAATGAAAGCACTTCATTCACATTACGTTCTGTATGCTACTTCACCATACTTACTGCTTGATTTGATATTTTTTTTACTTTTTCTCTTTCCTTCTCCAATCCAGGACCCAACCTTGTTAAACGGGAGAGTGACTCTGCATCATGCAAAGGCTGGAGCTGTCTTAGCAAGACAGGGAGACCAGGTACTTTACACAAGACATACTGGATCTGTTTTTTCAAGTCTTGCAAAGGACTGATCTGTCTCCCTCAAGCTGTATTAGTAATGCAGTAGCAAGAGTAGTAGTCAAACATAATAAATATAGAAACTCAATCATTGCAACAAAAAGATCTAATGTTTGAGATAACTCAGCAACGTTTCTGCTTTCTCTCTCTTCCCATTTTCACTTCTTCAGGACGTGAGTCTGCACTTTGTTCTGTCTGGTTGTCTGCACGTCTACCAGCGGATGATCAACAAGCAGGAAGCCGTCTGTTTGTTTGTAACCCACCCGGGAGAGATGGTGGGTCAACTCGCTGTGCTCACTGGAGAGCCCCTCATTTTTACCATCAAGGCTGTTCGAGACTGTACTTACCTGAAGATCTCAAAGTCAGATTTCTATGAGTGAGTCGTTCAGCTTTGCTGTTGGCAAATATTATTGTGCAAAACATGCAAATTATGAAAATTATAGACACACTGATACATTACCAGTGGCCAGTTCTAACCTACAATTCTTACATGCCTTCATTCAATCAGGGCAGACATGTTGTTGAATTTCAAATAGAAACCTTTAGCATTGCGAGAATCTTTCAGTTTTGCTGCATTTATTCACTTTGAACATATCTCAGGGTGGAATAAGTCAATATTTGTTATCTCTGTGACTGTTCTGTGTGCTGCCCCCTGCAGGATCATGAGGGAGCAACCCAGTGTGGTGCTGAGTGCGGCCCATACGGTGGCCATCCGCATGTCTCCTTTTGTCAGGCAGATGGACTTTGCTATTGACTGGATGGCTGTAGAAGCTGGCAGAGCCCTCTACAGGTACTCTGCTCTCAGCTTTTCCTTAAACAGACATATTTAAGAAGTATTTAGTTTCTATGTGCAAACGATGTTTGATCACAGACCTGTTTTAACATCAACAATCTTGTCCATTTGTTCAGATTATTAATTTACAATTAATTTGTAATGGTGACTGTAAATTGTTTTGTTTTTTTCTTGACATCTGCAGACAGGATGACCAGTCAGACTGCACCTACATTGTTCTGAATGGTCGCCTGCGTTCAGTCATTCGCAAGGCAAATGGAAAGAAAGAACTGGTGGGGGAATATGGAAGAGGAGACCTCATTGGCGTGGTGAGGAAAAGTCAAAGTCTAATTCTGCCTTTAATTTAATAGTAATTGTATTCAAAAGTCTGTTTTGTCAAGATTTAGTATGGGGGGTAGTGTAGTGTAGCAGTAGTAAACAAAAAGAACGCTTGTAATGCATCATGAGTGCAATATTTTACATCAGGACAGGGTCAGGTGTCGTTTTATAAATGAACAATATTTAAAACGGACATGTTCTTTCACATATTTTTGCCCAGTTTTGAGTGACTGAAAAGCCCAATCATGTTGGTTTAAGTGTTGACAGCAGTTTATTATTATTACGAACTTGCTGTGGCTAAAGCTATTTAGTTTTAACATGTATGATTTCCTGCTTTCCGCGTTAGGTGGAGGCCTTGACCAGGCAGCCAAGAGCCACCACCGTCCATGCTGTGAGAGACACAGAGCTGGTTAAACTGCCTGAAGGAACACTCAACAACATCAAAAGACGATATCCACAGGTACGTGAACTTGTTGATTAAACCTGGTCGCAATACTTGGTACTGTGTACTACTATTCTGTATCAATTTCTGTGTTTAGGTGGTGACAAGGCTGATCCACTTGTTAGGACAGAAGATTCTTGGTAACCTTCAGCAGGGTCGTGGGCCATTCTCAGGTAAGATGGCGATGAGGTGTCTAACTGCACACGAACATACCTGTTGCCCCTGTCTTTCTTCCTCCACCCTTAAGCTCTTCTCACATGCTCCCGTCTCACATTGTGTTTCTGTCTTCCAGGATCAGCCTTCAGTCTGCCCAGTATGGCAACAAGTGCAGATGTCACCAACCCTGCCAGCAACCTCTCCACTGTGGCTGTGCTGCCCGTCTGTGATGAAGTGCCGATCAACGCGTTCAACCTGGAGCTCAGCCATGCCCTCAGTGCCATTGGTAGACATGCTGACTTTCTATATGTTCAAAACAACCTTTTGTGTGGGATTGTTGAATTTGTATGTAATTCAGCATGTTTAAGTAAAGCAGATTGTAAGACACATGAATGTTGTATCCTGTTTATTGTTTTCATACTGTTTAAACTGCCTCTGTTTGACACTTGTAGGGCCCACTCTGCTATTAACCAGTGACATAATCAGAGAGCGACTCGGTGCTTCTGCTTTGGACAGGTCAGTCTGATAATGAAAGAGTTATCTCAGTCAAAACTTGTCGTCATCATCACAAAAACCAGCTATAATCATTTTTTCTTTATCTACGGCATTCTTTTTTTTTTACCATTTGGGTTGAACTGATGACATAGGTTGTGAATTGTGCTTTAAAAATGAAATTGAATTGAACTGAGTTAACTGTACTTACTATATCACATTTTCCCCCCTATCATTATAGCCTTTTCTGTGTTATACAATTGTTGGTCTGTTGTTTTGTTGTTTTTGTTTAAATTAATTATTACCCTCCCAGTCACTCTCTCTGTCTGTTAGGATGAATTAAAGTGCTGTTCCTCACCTCTGTCTTTCTTCTCTGTCCATCAGTATACATGAGTATCGTCTCTCCGGCTGGCTGGCCCAGCAGGAGGACATCAATCGTATTGTCCTGTACCAGACTGACAACAGCATGACCCCATGGACACAGCGCTGCATCCGCCAGGCTGACTGCATTCTCATTGTTGGCCTGGGTGACCAGGAACCTACGCTGGGAGAAGTATGTGCCTGTGCAGGCGAGGAATTGGGAAGGGAAGAATGTAATGGTAGCACTTTCACTCTAACTCTCTTCCCACTCCTTTCTTGCCATCCAGCTGGAACAGATGCTGGAAAACACAGCGGTCCGGGCTCTGAAGCAGCTGGTTCTTCTGCACAAAGAGGATGGACCAGGCCCCTCAAGGACGGTCGAGTGGCTCAACATGCGGAGCTGGTGCTCAGGGCATCTCCACCTCAAGTGTCCCCGCAGGGTCTTCTCCAGACGCAGTCCCAGCAAACTGGTGTGAAGCAAACTTTTACAGAATTGCTGTCCATTTTTTGTCACTTTTCTATCACTACATAATACGGTTTTCATTTTGATGTTTGTGCAGAGGGAGGTTTATGAGAAGGTGTTTGAGAAAACAGCAGACAGACACAGTGATTTCTCTCGGCTGGCCCGAGTCCTGACTGGAAACAGCATCGCCCTTGTGCTGGGAGGAGGCGGAGCTAGGTGAGCAGAGTCACTGAGATCTAAGACACAATGAGATGTCAAACAATCTAAGCCACCCAAAGCTGCCTTTTACTTTACCTTTGTGTGTGGTACTGCGGTAAAGAAGTTCTCTGTTGAAATTACACCTTTTTGTGCCCTGAATGCACAAAGTAGAGCAGCATTAGGAAAATGTGTCCATGTCCTCTGTTTTAATTTGTACTGTTTAGATTCTAATGTTGAAATACATTTGCCATCTTGTAGATCTGCCTGTTGTTAAACATATTTGCTTTTCCTCACGCAGAGGTTGTTCACATGTGGGTGTGATAAAAGCTATGGAGGAAGCAGGGATTCCTATTGACATAGTGGGTGGGACCTCGATTGGTTCATTCATTGGTGCACTGTATGCTGAGGAGAGGAGTGCCGTCCGAACCAAACAGAGAGCCAGAGAGTGGTCCAAGGTACAGTACATATCTGTACTGTTATCAAGTAATTTATCTGCATGTCAGAACAAGTTTGCTCCAAAGTGTTTTTCAAAATAACGCCGTGATAAGAAACAAAAAACTCAAACAAAAATAGGCAATTAATTGACGTCTGACTTCTCTATATTTTGTTGTTTAACAGGCAATGAATTCGGTGTTTAAAACAGTCCTGGACCTCACCTACCCCATTACCTCCATGTTCTCTGGTTCTGCCTTCAACACCAGCATCTATAAAGTGTTCCAGGACAAGCAAGCTGAGGTGAGAGAATGTGGTACAAAATATATATTTTTTTCCACTGCAGTATGCTCTGAGGGAAGACATGAGGGTCGTGTTTTAAAATTGAGAAAATACTGATGAAGTTTATGACACTGAAAAACTTTGTGTCGCCCAGGACCTGTGGCTGCCATACTTCAATGTCACCACTGACATCACAGCCTCAGCCATGCGTGTGCACCAGGATGGTGAGTGACAGCTGATCTAACTACAGGGGCCACCAGCCCTCCCTGCTGCTATTACTGTTTTATTGGTTAGATGTTTTTTTAAAGCATTAGAAAAGCTCAGGGCAGCACCTTTATATGTTACAGCCCTTTTATATACAGTACATTTACTTGATAGTGCACATACTTACACATAGACAAGAAAGGGAATGAGCGATTGCTTAGGTCTTTCTCAACACTTAACACAATTTAATCCAATTACACTGCCCTGAATGATGGAGAACTAATGTGTGAAATTGGCACTGACATCAGTATGTTTCAAATGTGATTAAACAGTGAGTTGTGCTTGCAGCAGTCAGAAGTAAAATGGCACAGTGACTAAAGCTATTACCTAAGTGAGTATATTGGCACATTGTTGACCTCAATCAGCTCTTAGAAGCTACTTCCAGCACTATAATATGTCTTTTTCTTTCACAACAGGTCTATGAATTCTATATTATTAGGCATGACCTGCAGCAGTACACACAAATCTAATTGGCTTATGTGTCATGTAGAGTAGCTGGACTGCATGTCCTTAGAAGATGTGCGTTTGTTTAATAGTGTCCACGTCAGCTGGAGGACACTTACTTAAAAAAATAATATCAGCAAGAGCATTACATTGAAGCCGTCATAGTCCAAATTGCATTTTAGCTATTTTGCCTGCACAAACAATGCCAGTTTTATTCTAGTTTGGAGCATGCTACAGCCAAGTGCTTAGAAAGGACATTTCACGAAATATGTGCAAAAGAGAACACTTAAATTTCTATGCCTGTGTTTGTATTTACTGAAAATGTGTTCTGTGTCGACTGCCATAAAAAATGCGCCATCACTAACATTAGCTGAAGTAGTTCAGCTCAGTAGTGCCCCCATCCATAAGCCCCACAAATCCAGTGCTCCGTTTTCTGTGCCATATACAATCAATGTAATGCTAACTTGTGATTTCCAGCATTGTACATCGAATTAAGACAGTGCTAGCTTCACTGCAAAATCAGTGTTTCAAATTGTTATAATGTGGGCTGATTGCTGGATTTGAGGAGTTTATGGGTTTTCAGGCCTGAGTTCTGCAGGGAAACACTGAACGCTTATGTTTGCATCTTGGCATGTGTATGAACTAACCGCTGGAGCAAAGCCTTTTCCTCTCTCAGTTCCATTCTTTCCAATCATCTGCCTCTTTTACTTTAAAGGCACTGAGTTCTTTCTTTCTTTCTTTCTTTCTTTCTTTCTTTCTTTCTTTCTTTCTTTCTTTCTTTCTTTCAACATCTGGGTTTTCTTTTCTGCCTCTACCGCACTCCTCGTTTTCTTTACTCTGAACTTCATCATTTTGCTAAATTGATAAAAGCTTTTTCATTGTTTTGTCTCCATCACATTTGCGTCTAAAACTCCCAGATTATGCCCTAGACGTAACCTTTATGTCGGATCTGTCCTGGACATATATAGACATCACAGAGATGTTCAGTAGGCAAGATAACCCGTGTAGCCGCTGACCCCCCAAAATGCTGAATCCCCTCCTATGTCCATGTGAACATGTAGGATCCAGAACACTTCACCTTGCCTTTTCACCCCCTTGCCCTTTAATGACATCCCATGTTGCTTCCCTCACTCCTTAGCCTCCATTCTGTGCTTTCTGTAGTTTTCTGGTTTGCTTTTGTTAAACATTTCTAGTCTGTTGTTATCCTGTATATGTCACTTTGACTCCAGTCACTGAAAGGAAATAGTAAATTGAAGGACGTGTTGATTGATGTGAGGCACAGAGTGTCATGGGTTTGTATTTTTTTCCTTTGCTTTTGTCCAGTGAGAAAGACTGCCAAGACTCAGATTTGATACTTGTCTGAAACTTAAATTGCAAATCTTTTATGTAAAATTTGATTTATGTAGAAGTTTTCTCCTCATTTTACAGTTTGGAGAATTTAGTCAAAGGCCCACCAGTATTAAAGTGTGATGGTCCTGTCTAGCTCTCTCTCTCTGTCCCTCTCTCTATCTATATATATATATCTGTTTCTGTCTCAAACTTTCTCCCTCTTTCTGCCTCACTTCCACTTCTTCTCTCTCTGCTCATCTTTCTCCCACCTTGCTCGTCTAACAACGCTAATACTGTTTTTTAACATGATTAATCAACACATCAAACCAACAGCATTACTGGTTTTAGGCAAATTTGCATATATATATGTCATTGTAGTTTATTCTCATCTACAACCACAAGCTTTGGTGTTATTTAGCCTAAACTGTATTGTTTCTAGCAGCCATTTTACTGCATTGATAATTATTGTTTACTGAACAAAGCCTGTGTGTCCAAGCTTCCCAAAGGTTAATTTAATTCAATTGTGGAGCAGAACTGTAGTATGTTTTTATATGAAATTGGCTCCATATTAGAATGTACAACCTTTAGAAAACCACAGGCATAAGAGGGTAATTTTGTTGAGGTTTCTCTCTGTTTTGCTCCTCGCAGCTTCTTGCATTCTCTCCTTCACTACATTGCAGGCATTTCTTTCTCTGTCTTCCTCTTCCTCCTTATTGTTCTCTTTTTCTGCGTTCTTCTCTGTGTCTATCTCTGTCCTTCTCATTCTCTTTCCATCTGTGATGTGGAGTCCGGCCCATATTTGATGTGTTCCTCCTTCTCCATCTCCATTTCCCGACAGGTTGCGTCTGGCGCTATGTTAGAGCCAGCGCCTCCTACACCCCCTATTTACCTCCCCTGTGCGACCCCAAGGATGGCCACTTGCTTGTGGATGGTTGCTATGTTAACAATGTCCCAGGTCAGATTTTAAACACCCGCTCACCAAAAACCTCGTCCCCCATCCCTAAGTTGACAATCAACCACTTGACTACCCTCCACTTCTGTCGAGTCCCTTCCAAGTTCTTACTCGTAACTAACCCCACCTTGACCAGCTGGACATTGGGAGCCCATGGTTTGGAAGGAAAGACTAAATCCAACATATATCTTAAGATTGATCAGCGCCTCATATTTTACTAAATAATCACCAAAAGTACATCTTATTCTGTCTCCCATTGGCTTTTATTTTTTCACCCACACAACACACTTTCTCCAGTTGGCTTGGTGCCATCTGTTAATAAAACCCACTGACCTTCACTTTTATCCTTGGATGGGAGGTTTTGCCCCTGCATGTTTGGGCATTTATAGGTCAGAAAGAGATGCATGATCATCCAGCTTCTTCTGGCCTCACGTATTTGCTAAAATCTTCCCCTCCCCTCTTAAAGTTCTGGATGTGGATTGTGAACACAGATGTCGAATGAATGAATAGTTTGGATGTAGCTGGATTTTCAGGTGTAGAGAACGGACAGCGCTGTATGGTTTGATTGAAGGAGAGCTAATAGTGTTGAAGGTGATATTTGTGTTTCACTGGAGATTGTGAAGGGCTGCGCCATGTCAATATCACATCCGTCTGCTGTCGCTGCGGTTCACTGTGCCCATCAGTGGGCCTAAATGCGTGTGTCCTGTGCAACTTATTCCCACGAGGGCGTCCTGCTTCTGTTTCATTTCAGTCATCTCTACCTCCAGGAACATGTTCAGTCTCTCCCACCCAGCTCCTGTCCTCTCCCCTGGCTTTGCTTGCTTTTATGTGCATGCCAGTGTTAAATACAGTGAGCCTACCAATACATTTTTGAAAAAAATATAAATATACATTGATGCATGTATTGCTTTTTATTTTGAGAATATGTGTTCTGGATCCTACTGAATAAAGCCCTTTAAGCTACAGTAAATCTAGAACGAAGGAATGGAAAGCTGTAGGTGGTAGATTTTGTAAAGTCACGCTTCAATAAGATGATTCTGCCTCAGTATTCACATATACTCCATGCACAGTTGCACCCCTCGCTTTTCTCTGCGGTGCTCCTTATCCTTCCAACCCATGCAGCGCCCGGCCTGCTCCTGTCCCCTGCTGGCACCGAGCGGTACTGCAGGACATGGGTAGGCTGGTTGCTTCCCTGCCATGTTCATGGTGAAAGATCTCCAAACACTGTCACATCAGCATCAGCTGGGCAATAAAAGTAGGTCTATTTACACGACTGTTTTCTCGTACTTCAGACCACTTAATAATGATTGGATTTTGATATCTCCGTGCATTTTGCAGTATCATAAAAAAAAATGGAACAAATCCACATAAACACATGCAGCAAAGAGCTGTTGTTGAGACATAGTTTGGAGATTTAAAACAACTTTGGTTCTCTGTGATGGTTGCCATTTACTTTTTTACCTTCCGCACGCTGGGTTTCTGTGCAAGGTAATGAGGTTAGCAGTGGGGCACAACAGAGTCTAAAGGTGAGCAGAACTACAGTCCTACTCTTTGCAGGGATCGGCAGCCTTCTTCTGTCCGACCTCCCTCTGATGTTTGGATTGCGGTCTGTGTCGACACTAATCTGAAACGTATAGCGAACATTATTGAGATGTTATTCCCCGCCCTCCTTCCTCCCTCCTCCTCCCTCCTTCCCTCCCTGGTGTGCCAGGCTCTCTGTGGCGCTATGTACGGGCGAGCATGACCCTCTCGGGGTACCTGCCGCCTCTCTGCGACCCCAAAGATGGCAACTTGCTAATGGACGGTGGCTACATCAACAACCTGCCAGGCAAGTACAGGTGGTAACCCCCCCCATCCCAAACCCCACCCCACCCTTCTCCAACCGCATCCCACCCCCACCTGCCAATCAACACACTGTGCAGTCCAACCCAACTCCTGACTCCCAGAGGAGGTGGAAGGTGGAGTGATGGATGGGGATGCTTTGTGAGGGAGGGTTTAATCAAGTTAGTAATGTTTAGAGGCTGGGTAAGTAGGTAGATGTGGGCTTATTGCTTTTGGAGGGAAGTCCTGTGGTAGTGCTGAGTTTTCCCCATCTGAATATTAAGCCATTCTGAATCGATCATTAATCCATCACATGAGATAAATTAAATCAAAAACTCAAAAGAGAGCAAAAAACAAAAAACTGTTCTGGATTACTAGATGGGAAAAAGCCAGCATTTAGAGTTATACTGAGAGTGGTTCAACTGTATATAAAGTTAAGGTTATTGCTCAAATTAAGAACTGAACTGTCTGCTTGTATTCGTGTGTCAAACAGCCTGGTGTCAGATAAATATTGAATTAAAATTGGCGGAGGGGTTGCCACAAGCATAGCATTTGGGGGGAAAAACAATTTCGCTTCTGGCATTAAAACTTTACTGTCATTCTGCATTTTTTATTATTCCATACGACACCAGTCTGTTTTAATCTGAATCCTCTTGTGTTGTAGCTCTTTTTTGTAGGGCTGGGCGATAAGTATTATTTGTCACTGGAATCACACCTTTGTAATATGATCATATCCTCTTATCATTCTACAAACTGATTACTTCAGTCAAGTTGTATTTTAAAATACAAAGCTAACTATTGAAGTTTGCTTTTTACAAGTGTGAATAAGTTGCCCTCATGTAAAGCATAATGGTGGAACACTATTAGCTCCAGTGTGATTTGGCTTACGTTTGAAGTATTGTTCAATATATCTAAACCATGTAAAGTCCATATCCTCATTTATACTGTGATACTGGTGTCAGCTTTATCGCCTCGCCCCACATTTGTAATTCTCATTCTTAAGCTTAATGTTAAAATCAATATTTCCCTGTCTTTCAATCAGAGGATAAACAGTGGTGTGTGTTCAGACTGAGGGGAGGAACTGTTTCACTGCATGAAAGCATTTAAAACTGCACCAGATCAAATGTACACATTCCTGTAAAGTTCAGGCAAAGTAAAACTTAAGTAAGACCAAAGCAGTTTTTAGCTTTCACCGTGTTTTTTGCAGATGAAACCTCCCCTGAGTCTGCGTCTGTGTTGTTATGATAAAGAATATACTGTGTATTGATGTAGCAGCCACATTACACAAATCTCCAGACTGGCCTATTGCGATGCTCTATTTGGGATGGAAATTATGTCTCAATGTGTCCCAGGCGATTCTCTTTTCTGAGGTTTGTGAAATATGGTGCTTTGTAGGCCCAAAGATTGATCCAGCTGAAGGGAGCCTTGTAAAATCATCATCCTTTATTTCTGAATTTTATTACACTGCCTTCTCCCCAAAGAGTCTGTGCTCAATCAGCTGCTTTCCATAGTTGTTCTTGGCGCACTGGATCAGTTCTTCGGCCTTGTGGGATGTCTTCCTGTTCTTGTCTTTGAATAGGCTCAACACCACAAAAAAATGCTCGCTGCCACAAGGCTTTTTTAAACGCTAACAAGTCGATGAGAAGGGTCATGACTTCAGGCCATGTGTTGGTTGTGCCAGGAAAGTATACAGTTTTCTTTTTCAAAATTGCACCGTTTTTTTGTCACTAATTGGCCATAAATGCTTTGGATTATATCTAACAGCTAACAAAAACTGATGTGTTTTTTTGTGGTGTAAGTCTGTTGGAACATTGTGCGCTCCTACAATGAAGGCTTAAAGAAACTGAGATCAACCTGAAACAACACAGGATTCATTGTCTTATCGTCTCTGCTCCTGGATTTTGTCGTGTTGTGTTTGTGTACGTCTGTGTGATTGTGTGCATGTGGGTGAACACTGGTGTACCAACAGCGGACATTGCAAGGAACATGGGTGCCAGAACAGTCATCGCCATCGACGTGGGTAGCCAAGATGAGACTGACCTCTGTAACTATGGCGACTGCCTGTCTGGCTGGTGGTTACTGTGGAAACGGATCAATCCCTGGGCAGAGAAAGTGAAGGTACAGTTAGAGCTGGCAGCACAAAGCGCTGGTAACTATTCATGAGTCAGCAGCTTAAAATTTATTAAAGTACGCCTACGTTTTTATTTTATCTGATGAATATGTGGCATCAATGATACTGCTATAGGATCAGTAGGATTAAAGAATTTCTTGTGTTAATTGTGAATTATAGTGGCCAGTGGTTGAAATACAATGCTTCTGCAGGTTCCAGACATGGCAGAGATCCAGTCACGGTTGGCCTACGTGTCTTGTGTGCGGCAGTTGGAGGTGGTGAAGAAGAGCGCCTACTGCGAGTACATCAGACCTCCCATCGACCGTTTCAAAACCATGGACTTTGGCAAGTTTGATGAGATCTATGTAAGTCAACTGCTGAACGTGGCTTGTTTTTAGTTTTTTAGAAATATGGTTTATTACATGAGCAAGAAGTGTGTCTCTCAAATCCCCTACGATTAAATGTAATGTGGCTGCTGATCAAGAATTACATGAAGGGGATTTCTTTAACGTAGGGGATCACTGCACAAGTCAGATCTCCTGCATCTCCACAGAGGGATGATAGTCCTCACTAGTGGGCTTCTTTCCTTTGCACTGTTTTGTATTGGCCTGGTAAATTATCAGGACCAATATTAGGCATTTTTTCCGATTATTAGTAGAATTTTTATTATTGACTGCAAAATTAAATGCACTACTTTAGGTCAGATGCAGCTTCTTCTCTCTTTCGGTAGTCACTCTGTGGTCTCAGAGATGTCTTTCTAGCAGGAACACAACTCGCAAAAACTGAACAATAAGCACGAACCATTGCCACAAACCAGGAAGTGTACTGCTTTCACAGTGACTAAGGCAAGGGGATAAGTTAGGAGGCAGATACAGATGACCCTGTGGCAGCTTCAGTTAGCAAATCAAAGTTATTCAATGAAAAAACAGCTTAAGATGCCGCACCCTGCATAGAAATGGAGGAATTGACTCTTGCACTCTTTGAAGTAAAGTCGTAAATTTGCTATTTCATTCATGGCCGTCGAGAGACAAGATAAAATGATTAAGATAACCCTTCAGAAGTATAAAATCTTGTCTCATAGTGTTATCAACTCCTGTTCAGTTTGTTAGTGGCTGATAGCAGCATACTGTGTTCATCGATATTTTTTTTTAACATTGTATGTTGGTCTAGATGCTTAGTAAGAACAATAACAACCACTCCCAGTAGATATGCATTCATATGTTTCACTGTCCACTGCTGCTGCGACCTTGAGCTGTGTTGCACTTCATATTAACAAAATCCAACAAATCGGCTCCCTCTCTTTGTCCATTTGTTTGTTAAATTGATTTCATCATTTCCAGAAACAGTCAAGACCATGAGTTTATTTTTATTTTTTATTGATCTTTTCAGTGCATTTGATACAGTTACTCATTTTTTGCTTTTAAAAAGGCTCAACGGTTTTGTTTTTAAATGGTGCCAGAGTTGCCTCTTAAACAGACAGCTGTGTGTGATTCTCAGAAATGCAAAGTCAGAATCTGTCATGGTTTTCAGAGGTGTCCCACAGGGCTCAGTATTTGGGCCTCTGCTGTTCAAACTGTACATAGATGATATTGTTTCCTCTGTATCTCATTTTAGCATACTTCTTTAAGCTGACTATGCCATGTTCTACTGTAGTGTGGCTTGTGTACATTCTGCTGTAAATTTCCAACGGAGCTTCTTCTCCCAGTCACAAGTTGCACTCAGTAAGCATTAATTAGTTCCTTATGCAAAGACAAAACCAAACACATGATTTTCACCAGAGCCAAAAATGTTCCTACTGAAAATCTTGTCATCTCTGCTCTGAATAATACAATTATTAAAAGGGTTACAGAGTGCAAATATTTATTTGGATTGATGATAAGTTGACTTTTAAATATCATGTGTCCACCCCAGTGACAAAAAAAAAAAAAAAAAAGGTTTTGTTTACAGGAATAAATTATGTTTCCCATTGCACTGTAGGAAAATGCTGATTAAGGCTTCTTTTTTTTATCAGTTCTGTATTGTGGTGACATCTTCTACATGAATGTATCAGTAGCAGCTCTTAAGCCCTTGGATGCTGCTTATCACACTGCATGAAGATTTATTCCTGCTGATAATTATAATACTCATCACAGTGAGCTGTTTGCCGAGATTGGGTAACCCTCACTCAATCCATAAGACCTGATAGACACTGGGTTTTATTTATGTATTTATAAGACTCGTTTTGCTCGTTTATATTAGCTCTTTACTATCTTTTATTGTGGGCTCTTAATGAATATGCTCAAATAACTGGATTGTGCTGCAGGTGCTGGCTGTGTTTAGCAATCCTGGAAAATCTAGTTTGACTGACTACACTCCTGTAGCCTGGAATAATCTGCAGAACAATCTAAAAATTGATTAATTTTTATACTCTTAGCAATTGTAATTTTTAATTTCACCTTATTTTACTTCCAGCTGCTTTCGTTTTAGTTGATTCATATCTTTTTTTTTAAAAAAAAACAGAACTGTAATTAATGTTTTTGTTATTCTACTAACATTGCCTTATAGTATTGTATTGCTATCTAAATTACTATTATTACTAATTATTACTAATTACTATTTTATTTCTGTTCTATTCTTTTATTAGATTTCTCTGCTACACTGTGAATGAGGCTTTCATATCTCATTGTACTCAGAGTGTAAATAAAGGTTCATTGAATAAATGAATGAGAAATGTTGAGGCAAGATACATCAGATTCAGAGTTACAATCAGTTTTTCTACTCTGAATATACGTGCTGTTTACAAAAAAACTGTGTGCTTCTGTTAAAACTACGTTGTACTTCAGGATGTGGGCTTCCAGCACGGGAAGTTACTGTTCACCGGCTGGGCTCGAGGGGACATTATCGAGAACATGCTGAAGGACCACCGTTCCGCCGACTACAATGACAGCAAGAGAACTGACGTGAGGACACACTCGATAACCATAAATTTAATATGGTTGATGTATAACGTACATGTCAAAGTTATTACTGCATAATTCTAATAATTTCTTGCCTATTAGACCTGCACGTGTCCAGGAGCTGACTTCACTGACCTTGCAGAGATCGTATCCAGGATAGAGCCGGTCCAAAGCTACGTAGCGACAGAAGGTGAAGATCATTACTGTCAAGAAAGAATTCCTTATTCCCTAATGCTGGTCGGAATATGTTTTTCATTTCATTTTAAACCAATAATTTAGTTTTAAGGCAGTGCGTAAACTACTTAAGCACACAGCTTTCACATGTTACAGAGGTCTCAGCTACTCGATGTGCAGTTCCCCTTTGAGATCATGTCACATTAATCAGTGTAATAAATAAGGGGTTGTATCTTTCACCTGCTCTGTTTTATTGAAATACAGCAGGGGATGTTCCTGATATTTTATGGCTGCTATCTAAATTGGGTGGGTCAGTCACGCAATAAATTCTTTCTGTAATATCTCCCCTAAATCTTTCCACTCAGCCGAGGAGTCGGACTGTCTGACGGAGTACGAGGAAGACGGGATGGACACGGTGAGAGAGGAGGAAGGGGAGGAGGAGGAGTATGAGGCAGAGGATCCTGAGGACCACTCCCCTGGAGAGTGGGGACAGAATGGAGTCTTTCAGACTGTGAGTGCACACAAACACAAAGTTTTACAAAAAGAGTAAAGAGGATTTACTCCTAGAAATGTATTGTTTAAATAAATCCAAATGAAAACACCTGAACTAAGTCATGTATACCTGTCTTCCCTCTGTTTTGCCCAAACTGAAAGGCAAGCTCGAGTGAAATTTGAAATTAAGACAGCAAAAAAACAAAAACCTTATGTAGCTCATTTCTCTGCTCCATAGAGCGGCGGTCTCCAACCTTTTTGTACCAGGGACCGGTTTTACCCAAGAAAATGTTCTACGGACCGGCCATTGCACACATAACAAAAATAATAGTTTTTTCTATTAAAACGTTTCATAAACAAATAAAATTACTTGCTAAATATGTGTTTACGTTCCCACTTTCCAAAAAAGCTCTCTGGAGACTTTTGTTTTGTTGTTTTGTTTGTTTTATACATTTCGGCAGCAGTTAGATTGATGGCTTCCTTTAATAGCCGAAAATAAAAACTGACAGTCAAGTGCGGAAACGAACACAGACGGAAGTGACAGGAAGACGAGCTACTCATTTTTCAAAATAAAACACCCTGCAGACTGCGCTGGAAATAAAATGAAACACTAAAACGTTTTTATTCTTTCCCGGTGGTTGGGGACGGCTGCCATAGAGCATTAAAGTTGTCAAGAAATAATTACCACATAACTCTGCCTCCATCATGACAATGAACACACACAATAAAGTTTATATTGAGTCAGTTCAATATACACTCATCGATAATTACTAAAGCAACAAATATTTGCATTTGGTTGCCTTTTGACGTGCAATGACAATAAAGTTGAATCTAATATAATCTAATCTAAAAAGATATATTAATCCCCAGCTAAAGATAGACCGCAATTTTATTCTATTTATTTGAGAGATGACAAAGTGTATTAATTAAAATACACATAATGCAAATGTAGCACAAGTTACACAAAAGGTTCTTTTTCATAAGCAGTCCCTTTGCCTGATGTTGTTCTTAAGGCCACAATACAAAACTTCACAGGAGACTAAATGGTGTATTAATAATCTGTTTTACAGTTAACAATCAAATGGAACTGACAAAAACACGCTGCTACACTTCTGTCTTTATCACAGTCAATTTATTTATTATTCTGCGTAAATATGACGGCCTTTCTTGACAATCAAAAACTTTATTTTAATCATCAGTGGTATCTTTTATCTGTTAGATTCCAGTAGGGTACTAGACAAACACAGAATTCTTCTTGGCAACCTAAAAACAAAACTGTCTTCTGCAGGATGAAGAGAAATCTGTGAGGCAACGCAGGAAACTTACCAGTGACTCCAACACCTCCGAAGTGTCGGACTGCTGACAGAGGGCCACGGAGGAGTAGGACGATAAGGACAAGGGTCACGCTGTGGGTCCATAAACTGTCGAGGCTCGAGACGTGGACGTCACACTCAGCCCCTGCGACGACTGAAACTCTTGTTTTATTTCTGGAGAAACCGCTTTTCATCCTCTAAGCTGTTGAATTTTTTTTTTTGCATCAAGTGGCTTTCTCCGGATTTATACAGATAGGAACAGACTTTGAAGGTTTACGCCAACCAGAGTTTTCTCCCATCATCACTGACACATTGCCAGAGTCCCTCCCACAACAACAACAACAAAATAAAAAAAAAAAAAACAACACTATCAACTTGAAATTCAACAATTCAAATCACTTGCATGTCCCATCTGTGTCTCCGAATCTTTAAACGTCGGTACAGCCTCGCTGACGACATTACATGGTCTTCATTTGTTGTTCAGATGAGTGTGTGTTTGTTACCCGTGTGTCAGGATGACTGGTACAGATGAGCAAAACTGTGATTTTATTATTTTTTTTAATTGTAGCATGACACTGAAAGAAAATTCACAGACAGAAGAACTGTAGTTACTAAAAGTCGTGTAGGTTTAGCATAGATGTTGGGTAGGGGAAGGTATAGAAAGAGGGCATGGTTGTATAAACACCAAAGTAGATTTCTGTTGACTGAACTAGAGGTTGGACCAGAAAGCAGGACGAGGATGGACTGAAATGAGGAAAGAGGAAAAGACATGCATGTTAGCTGCAGAAAGTTGAAAATACATGGAGACGAAAACGTGCAGACGAGGACGGAGATGGATCAGTGAGCATAGTGTTATTTTAATTTAATTTATTTATAATTCACGCACAATAAACTAGAGTGAACTGGATGCACTGTAGGCAGACTAAACCTAATAGAAGACGGTCGTTAGGGATGAATGAGATTATCGCAGTGAGTGGATGTCACTGTGGCTGTGTGCTTGAATTGTTGTTTTTTTTTTTTTTTTGTAGTTTGTTTTTGAAATGATGCCAGATAATTACGATGCCTTTTCAACTACTGTTCAACCCGCTCAGAGTGGACATGACTGTGGTGCGATCACTCAACCGACACTACACAACACAGGAGTTTGTGCTCGCCTCTGCTTGCACAAGGTCACGCGTACAGTACTCAGGGTTCCTGCGTATAACTTGACATTGCAACAAAAACAACAACAAAAAACAACATCCTCTGCTGGTATGTATGAGAGCGTATCTCAGACTGTAGTCTCCAAAACCAACACATTATTGTGGAGAAGTGATTTTGATAGCACGCAGAAATCCTGAGTAAACCTGAACCTCCAACGGGCGGATATTCACCTCGTCTAACACTTAGCTCACATGGACCTCTTGTATAAATTGTAACAAGATTATATTATAATATACACAATGTTAATATTCATATATGTATATGAGGTGGAAATTTGTAAGTTGATGCTTTGCTGCAAAAACAAGGGAACCTAATCAAAAAAAAAAAAAAAAAAAAAGGGTTGTTCGCTTAACATCAATTATGTTGTAATGGACAGTTGCCAGACTTGCTTTTTTTTTATTTATACATATTAACAAATGGCTTTTTAAATTGGGAACGAAGGGGGGTGGTGTCTTATTTTACTTAACCCGGCTTTAGCTGTTTTGCACTGAAATATTTGAAGTATTCCTTGCTCAGAAGATGTTTGGTTTAACATTTGCCATCCACCTTGATATGCCAAGGGAATCTAAAAGAATAAAAAGAGGTTATAATTTAATATGCATATTGGTAAATAAACGTAATATGCATCCACTTATGTCTAACTAGATTTTTTGTTCTCTCTTAAACTGTTGAATGCATGTGATAGGATTCGTTGTTGAAGATGTCAGATACACTCATTTATCTTGAGGTGCATCTGTTTATGTTTGTTTTTTCAGACAGGTAAGTCCTTCTCACTGTGAGATAAACTCCTGTTCCCACGCTAACAGTAAACACTATTAGATATCAGTGCCCAGCAGGAAAAAAAAAAAAAAACATTGAATAGGTGACTATGTTCTGTAGAGGTTTAAAGTACTTATGATAATGTTTGCCTGCTTTAAAACATCCACAGGTGAGCTGGATGGGACCAGTCGTGCTCAAGAACACTTGTGTGCAGGTGAGTCCCTACCTGTAAATCCTAATTCTAAAAATTGATTGATTGATCTGTCTGTCTTCATAGATCTAACACTCAGTAGTGAATGAGTAGTTATTGCAGAATCTTCTATAGATACAG